GGCCAATATGCGCTTCCTCACAGTGGTTCCAATCAACTTGCTCCCGATGATGCAAATCGGTTCTCTGTTATTCCTAAGTCTGTGATCCTGATTTGTCTCATCCTCTACTACCTGGATCCACATATTTCCTTCCCATCATCTGCTTATCATTGGATCTGGCTGTATACCGCCGAATGCTTACCTTGTTTACTTGATCCGGATTCGCCTTGGGTAATCATATCTGGATCAGGCATAATTATACCCAGATCAGGCACCTATAATTAGGTCCTCCCAGATCGATCAGGTCACCTCGGAATCAGTTAATCTGAGTCCATCAGACCTTCTCAGATCTGGATCCATCGTAGTCACTTCAGATCCAGGCATACCTTGCACTTCACTTGACCCGATCACTTCCTGTCCGTAATTTCTCGGAATGTAGTTAACCACAATTCAATGCAGCCACAGACTCACTAGCGGCAGAAGCACTGGAATCAAAAACATCAAAAGTGGGGTTAGACGAAAGCCGAAACCCGAGTTAGAAGGACTCAATCGCATCCGAGAAGTGATCTACGACTCCAGCCAAACCAGAATTGAAGTAAAACCCGTTGCTGAAGACTCAACTCAAAGTATGAGCACAATCTCAGCCTCTCAGTCCAAACCATTCGCAGACTTTGTCCAGCCAGCTCAGAAACAATCAACGAGCTATGTGTTAGCCGTGTCAAGGAGTCAACCAACAACTCAAAAGAAGCGTGTGCGTTTTGCCGACGATTCAGTAGCAACCCTAGAAACAACCATACTGAAACCAATGTCGACAGAGGACACAGAAAATGTGGCAGTAAATCCTGCGAAGACTGGGGCAAACGCACTCAGTACGGTACCAGACGCAAGTGACGTCGACTCAGCAGCTATACAATCAGAGCGACGACGGAGAATCGCTATCGCCCAAGACAAAGAGCTAAAATGAATCAATCTGAAAACGGTGTTACGAGGAAACTCCGACAAGCTCAAATATAGAGCTGCCCGAGATGCGTGGAAGATTGCAGAACGATTTCTCTTGACTGACGGCAATGTGCTGTACTATATGAACTCGACTCCTCGGAACCAACAAGACAACCAAGAAGATCTGAGACTGCGACTGGTAGTCCCAACTACGATGATTCAAGAAGTACTTCAAAACAACCATGACTCGTTGGAAGGTGGACATCAAGGCGTAGTGAGGACATATCAACGAGTGAGGCAAGATTATTATTGGTTAGGCCTATATGCAGACGTTGAGAAACACGTGAAGTCGTAGTTCAAGTAAGAGCAAACCACAGCTGAGAGGGTATTATCCTGGTAACATTCTCGCCGAACGACCATTCCAGATTATCTCGATGGACTTCGTAATTCGGCTGCCGAAATCTCGACGAGGTAACACGGCGCTACTGCTATTCCAGTGTGCTTTCACTGGATTCGTCATTGCTAAACCGATGTTCAAAGTCGCACAAGTATTCGAAGAATGTATTTACCGGAGATTTGGGGCACCGTCATTAATAAGCCATGATAGGGATCTCCGCTTTATGAGAGAAGTATTCCAAGCGTTTGCCGAGATGATGCAGTCAAGACCGAGAGCAACTCTGAGTTATCGACCACAAGTCAACGGACAGCAAGCAAGATCAGTTAAGACGGTAATGCAATCTGTAAAAGTTTATGCCGAAGACCCACTTAAGCAAGACTGAGACGAGATTGCAGAGCATCTAGTTTTCGCCATCTACAACTCAATGGACACTATCAGAAAGTAAACACATTTCTACTTAGTTCACGGACGGAATGCCAGCTCAACAATGACGGCGATGACGACGTCTCTTCGACACGGAACTTCGAATCTGTCCAAAGCCTTAGCGTGGCGTCGAGAAGTCAACCGACAAGAGGAAGTTGCATGGCGAATGGTCCAAAAGTATCAGCATACTGAAAAGTCACGAAGAGCAAGACTTCACAACATCGCACTGAGTAAAATGGAGAAAGCGCCATTTCAACACGAGGAAGCAGAAGACTCGACACGCCAGGACGGCGAGGACTCAGCTACCAAATCGAAAGCGAGCAAGAGGAAGTTGTTCGAAGAAGGAAGTCGAGCGTAGCTCTACATGGAGAGAGTCAAACCAGGACTCACGAAGAAGCTCGCTCATCGGTGGCACGGACCATTTTGCATCAAGAAGAAAGTGAACGAATTTGCATTTGAATAGGAACTCCCGGACAAACGCGGCTACCGGTTCTATCCAGTAGTGCATATCTCAAGGTTTAAGCCAGTAAACGAATTCTCTAGTCGACCAACGACTCTACTCGCACCTGAAGTAGTCTAGGATTCACGAATGGATTTTGATGAGGCGCTCCTTCCCGAAGATTCATGGGAACCAGACCACATTGCGGGAGAATATGAAGTAGAGGCCATCCTGGATGACCGAAGACCACTTCAAACCGGTACCGAAAAGTCGTTGAGAGAATTCAAAGTAAAGTGGGTCGGGTATAACGAACCAACATGGGAACCAGCGTCACATCTCTCCTGCGGTGGACTGCTCTACGACTACTTGCAGCGGAAAAAGAGCGAACACCGCTTCCAGATGGTTCAAGTGGCGGACGAAAACTAGCCACCATGTCAACCAGTGAAATGATCTGAAGTCTGGGGCAATGCAGCCCAGAATGTACAGACGAAAACAGCTACTGCATCAATTTGTATAATTACATGATATGACTTATGAACGCGAAGGTTAAGCGGAAAGTGGAATTAAGAAAGAAAACGTTATTCAAGCCGACAACTCACTACTCCGAATTACGGGCCTCAACGAGATGGCAAAATTCAAATGATCTGAGTAGACGAACCTTCGTCTTCGTCCTCAATAATTGGGGGAGCCCTTCAATCTCCTCCTGCTCCGACTCTTCTTCTCCAGAAACCTCGTCGTCCTCTTCACGAGAAGTCGGCACTGGAATCTCACCGTCCTGAGTAAAATCGGTGTCCTTGGCTAGGGCCATGAGACGATCAAGCAGCAACAACTCGGGAGGATCCGCAGGCTCGATCAAGTCTTCGGGGGTACGGTCATGTGCAATCAGTGACTCCACAACCGGAGGCGAACCTTGGAAAATCTGCTCCCAACCACCGACAATTCCGCGTTAGTGAGAGCTGGATCACAGACAATGAGAGGACCGACAGAAGCCAAAGAATGACCAACAAGAACGAAGAGCGGACGACCAGGGTTGCACGAATAGAAAGTCGTATTGTAGGGATGCTTCTCCGGGCAATCCAACCAATAGTTGCGCCAGGGCTCGCGAGCATCGAGCTCAGCAACTTCATTGAGCCACATCGGAGTCCTTGGAATCCACATAAAATATTCCATTCCGTAGAGTGGCATGAAGAGTTCGAACAGAAATTCTGGAATCACGCCGTCAACTGGAGGTGGAGACTCATGCAACCATTCCCAAGAAATGTAGGGATACTTGGTGCGAAGTCGGTCGTTGCGCTTAACACGATCGAGATTATAGTCGCTCCAGGCATCGTTAGCAGCATCAAGCATCGCCTTGATCGAGAGAACTTCCAATCGATCAAGAGTGGGTATGTTGAGGAGAGTAGTGAAGGCCATCGTGATAAACAACTCCACCGCACGAGGAGGAATCCAGTGGTCACGTTCCCACTGTGAAAAGCCGAGTTCTGGGTTCTTCTTGTGGCCAAAACCATGAAGGTTTCTACAATAGTCACGATATCTCAGATCGGAAGGAGCTCGTTGTGAAAGTGAATCTTCTTGATCAAAATCAGTAGTGTCGAAAAGACAGGCTAGAGAAAAAAAATTGCGGACGAGTCTTCTGCCAAGGGTGCTGAGAATTCATATAAGCGGCGAAACGTGCAATTTCCGAAGCCAAAAATTGAATCTGGAGCTTAGGTGGAATAGGAGTAGGTACTCGGGAATTGAGAATTCTCATCCATCATTGTCGGAACCACGAAGAGCGAAGGAGGGTGAAATGTAGGCGCCAGCCCACTTGAGGAACTTCTTGGGGAACTTAACGGTGAGCTTGAGCTTGACCGAAGCCGTGATCACACGTCGCGAAGACACGGAAGTCTGAGAACCGGACCCACTTCGGGTCTGCTTGGTTGGTTTTTCCTTTTTGCCTGGGCTTACGCTGGATAACAATAGGAGAGGTGGCCTGTGTACCACCCGGTGGCTCCACCGGAAGAGAAGGCACTGAAGGAATCGTAGACTGGGTAACTACCGCAGCGTCGGGAACGGTAGGTAGAGGCGCAAGTGAAGGAGTCGTGGGCTGGTCCTGGACATAGGCATCAGGAACAGGAGTAGTGGACAACGGCACACTTTCATCAGCCACATGAGACTTTGGCACCGCTGATTTCGCTTCAGTCGGATCGAGAGGAGGAGAAGTCTCGAAGGGTTCAATTGCTGCCGTTTCAGCCACCGAAGACTGACTGTTCAAGTCAGTCAAGGCTTCAGCACCACTAGTCTCGCCTTCCGAATACTCGTAGGGAGGAACGTCGTCACCTGACTCTCCCGAAGAGTCTGAAGAATCAAACAAAGCCGATCGGTTGAATCGACGGATCTTGCCGGTTTTCGAAACTTGAACTTGATCTTGGCAATCCTTCATTTCGACATCCTCCTTGAGAACATCAGCATCAGTAGCACGCTCTTGTTCAACCAACAAGGATGCTTTGAAGAAAGTTCGAACAGCTTGAGCCCGCCGAGACCGGTTGGCAGCAATGGTGTTGCTAGGGCCAACAGGATGCTTACGTGCTCTCGAAGAATGCGACTTGGGAATCAGGTCAGCACGAGGTGGTGACGAATCTTCATCACCACTTACCAAATCCAATACAGCAGGCACGCGATCTGGATCAACGGCCGGGCCATCAAGAGGTGCCAACGACGCTGGAGGGCTTGGTGATGACTTGGAGAGCGATAGGGAACGGGGTCGCGACATTGTTTTCTTAGAAGAAGCCTTCTCAGACATCGAATTGGAGCGAGGAATGGACCGAGAACGAGATACAAGAGCCGCAGTTTGGGCCTTGGCAGAAGATTAAACAAACCGACCAGCCACCGAAGACTCACGGCAACGTCGTTTGGGGGTCGGGGAAGCGTTAGCACGGGGAGTGCTAGCTTTCCGCTTGGGCACAGGTACCGATAACTTGGGTGAAGCTCGCTTCTGCTAGAAATAATCAGCAACTTCTTGTCCCGAAGTTCCAGCCGACGTGCGTCGCTTATCGGCAGAAATTCTCTTGGGATCCAAGGGACCCGCTGATTCACCAAGTTCAGCGTCGAAACCAGCCTGAGCAAGCAGTTCAGCGAGAGAATCGCGCGAAGTGGCTGGATCGGCGTTGAGATATTCATCGCGAAGCACATCCTTGGTGTTTTCACACACTTCAAGCATTTTCCAGTCAATTTCGCCAGTGGAATAACCTGATACCAACCAAAATGCGCTTAGTAAAGCATGAACAAGGATGCGCTGAAAAGAAACAAGAACGAACCTTCGGTAACGAGAACGAGAACATCAGGTTCGAGCTGGTCTAGCTTCACGCGTGATCGTAGAGTACGGTTCGCTGTCATGAGCCGACGATTGCGCTCCAAACGTTCAGAACACCGACGACTGGCATTGCCTTCAGCAGAAATATCGACAATACGAGAGATCGCCAGCGTAGCACTCAAATTAGCCACTAGGGTGGTGTTTACCGCGATCTTGGCCGTGAACTCGCTCTTGACATGCTTCAATTGACGATTCAAGTCGGCAACGGTGTCTTCGGCAGCACGGACTCGATCTTCACTCCGAGCCAAAACTTCGGTGTTGTCGCTAATGTTAGCCTCAAACTTGTCGGAAACAGCCTTGTAGTGAGCTGTCAGAGCCTGAGTGTTCTCCACCCTCTTCCGAAGACCCGCGATCTCCTGATGGCAGGAACGAAGGAGGCCTTCGGCATTTTCACGAAGACCAATCTCAGTAAGCAGGCGCCCCTCGGCAGCCTTCTGGGCAGATTGCGCCGCGTGGACGTAGAATCGGAGAGTACCTTCGAGCTCAGTCGGAGCAGGCTGCTGAGCGGGGCTCGGGTATATTGCAGCGGAGTAGATAGACTCAACGGAATCAGCAGCGTCGATGAGTTCTTGGACCCGGTGGTTGCCGCGGATCGCAGGCTGGAGGTGGAGTCCGACAGCGAGTCTTCCTAGGGCCTCCATCGGTGACGAGAGACCCGACAAGTTACGAAGTAACGACTTGTCAACCACACCTTCCACCAAATCGCACAGCGCTTTTCTGGTCAGCGTCTGCCGAGGAGGAGACGGGGCGACTGAAGGTGCTGGGGAAGAAGTCGTCGATGGAATTGAGGCTGGAGGTGAAATCCCCTTCCGAAATACGGCCACAGTAGCCGCAATCTCCTCTGGCGTAGGGGCAACACCTAGGATTGTGTTACCTTGAGGCGTGACGGAAGTCTGGATACAAGTGATGATCAAACAAAACGATATTTAGGACACGGAAGATTGAAGCACTTGCATGTATCGGCAGGTTAGCCTCCGGCGGTGACTGAGCGTAGTCGGTAGAAGGTGGCTCCGCAGAAGGAGCTGAAGTCGTCATAGTCGCGGCTGTTGGAGCCTGTGACGACGAAGCAGAAGTGGGAGCCGACGTGACTTCCGATGACTGCAAAATCCAAGAACCAGTCAGCATCGCGGCATGAGAGAAAGGAGGTCTGATTGTTTACCTGTTTCGA